TTCCACAGTTTGGCTATTGTGGACAATGCTATTATGAACATTGGGGTGCAGGAGCCCCTTCCTTTCACTACATCTGTATCTTTGGGGTAAATACCTAGTAGTGCAATTGCTGGGTCATAGGATAGCTCTATTTTTAACTTCTTGAGGACGCTCCATACTGTTTTCCCGAGTGACTGTACTAGCTTGCATTCCCACCAACGTGTAGGAGGGTTCCCCTTTCTCCGCATCCTTGCCAACATCTGTTGTTCCCTGTGTTGCTAAGTTTAGCCATTCTAACTGGTGTAAGGTGGTATCTCATTGTGGTTTTGATTTGTATTTCCCTTATGGCAAGTGATGTGAAGCATTTTTTCATGTGTCTATTGGCCGTTTGTATGTCTTCTTTGGAGAAGTGTCTCTTCATGTCTTTTCCCTATTTCTTGACTGGATTATTTGTTTTTTGGGTGTTGAGTTTGATAAGTTCTTTATAGATCTTGGATACCAGCCCTTTATCTGGTATGTCATTTGCAAATATCTTCTCCCATTCCGTAGGTTGCCTTTTAGTTTTGTTGACTATTTCCTTTGCTGTGCAGCTTTTTATCTTGATGAAGTCCCAATAGTTCATTTTTGCTTTTGTTTCCCTTGCCTTTGGAGGTGTGTCTAGCAAGAAGTTGCTGTGGCTGAGGTCGACGAGGTTGCTGACTGTTTTTTTCCTCCAGGATTTTGATGGATTCCTGTCTCACATTTAGGTCTTTCATCCATTTTGAGTTTATCTTTGTGTATGGTATAAGAGAATGGTGCAGTTTCATTCTTCTGCATGTGGCTGTCCAATTTTCCCAGCACCATTTATTGAAGAGACTGTCCTTTTTTCCATTGGATATTCTTTCCTGTTTTGTTGAAGATTAGTTGACCACAGAATTGGAGGTACATTTCTGGGCTCTCTATGTGTCTATTTTTGTGCCAGTACCATACTGTCTTGATGATCACAGCTTTGTAATATAGCTTGAAGTCCGTTATTGTGATGCCCCCAGCTTTGGTTTTCTTTTTCAACATTCCTCTGGTGATTTGGGGTCTTTTCTGGTTCCATACAAATTTTAGGATTGTTTGTTCCAGCTCTGTGAAAAATGTTGATAGTATTTTGATAAGGATTGCATTGAATGTATAGATTGCTCTGGGCAGGATAGACATTTTAACAATGTTCATTCTTCCAATCCATGAGCACAGAATATTTTTCCATCTCTTTGTGTCTTCCTCAATTTCTTTCATAAGCATTCTGTAGTTTTTAGAGTACAGATCCTATATCTCTTTGGTAGGTTTATTCCTTGGTATCTTATGGTTTTTGGTGCAATTGTAAATGGGATCAATTCCTTAAATTCTCTTTTACAGTTAAATTATTAGTGTATAGAAATGCAACTGATTTCTGTGTGTTGATTTTGTATCCTGCCACGTTGTTGAATTGCTGTATGAGTTCTGGCAATTTTGGGGTGGAGTCTTTTAGGTTTTCCACATAAAGTATCATGTCATCTGTGAAGAGTGAGAGTTTGACTTCTTCTTTGCTGATTCGGATGCCTTTTATTTCTTTTTGCTGTCTGATTGCTGAAGCTAGGACTTCTAGTACTATGTTGAACAACAGTGGTGAGAATGGGCATCCCGTTCGTGTTCCTGACCTTAAGGGAACAGATCAATGCTCTGCTTTTTATGTCATGCATAAAATGTCCTCAGCAACCCAGCTATATGCAAATAATCACCTATGTTCTCTTCTAGAATCTTGCTTTTGTTGGGCACATTTAATTTTTTAACATAGAAAAATTTTATTTTGGTATTTGAAGCAAAATAGGGACCTAACTTTATTTTTGTAATGATAAACAACTTGTCAAAAACCACTTATTACGTAATACATTCTACTCATCACATGTACTATATGTTCAATTTGCCTCTATCTAATCCCTCTTACACATATACATATCTGCAAATATATCTAAGTATATAAATGTAGCTATGTATATACCTATACTTCTTATTTTATGAAAATGATCTATCTCTTATGGCAATCACCATCATCTTACTGAATTCTTTTACTTTAAAAATACCTTCTGATCTGTTAACAAAACTGACCCACCACATTACTCTTATTTTTCCTTTTTTTTTTTTTTTTTTTTTGCCTAAGCCATTTAAAAATTATTTTCTTCAGGCACCTGGGTGGTTCAGTTGGTTGAGCATCCAACTCTTGATTTCAGCTCTGGTCATGATCTCAGGGTTGTGAGATTGAGCCCTGAGTTTGGCTCTATGCTCAATGGGGTGTCTGCTTAAGATCCTCTCTCTCTCTCTCTCTCTCCCTCTGCCCCTCCCCTGGCTTGTGCATGCTTTCTCTCTCTCTAAAACTCTCTCTTAAAAAAATGATTTTATTTTTTCTTTCTTTCTTTTTTAGTTTTTATTTAAATTCAAGTTCATTAACATACAGTGTAATATTAGTTTCAGGTGTACAATTTAGTGATTCAACACTTACCTAACACACCCAGTGCTCATTATAACAAGTGCCCTCCTTAAATCCTCACTTATTTAACCCATTCCCCCACCTACCTCCCCTCTGGTAACCATCAGTTTGTTCTCTATAGTTAAGAGTTTTTCTCATGGTTTTCCTCTTTCTTTTTTTTCCCCTATGATCTTTTGTTGTGTTTCTTAAATTCCACATATAAGTGAAATCATACGGTATTTGTCTTTCTCTGACTGATTTATTTTGGTTAGCATTATACACCCTGGCTCCATACATGTCAACGCAAATGGCAAGAGTTCCTTCTTTATTATGGCTGAGTAATATTCCTTGTGTGTGTGTGTGTGTGTGTATACCACCTCTTCTTTATCCATTCATCAGTTGATGGACATTTGGGCTCTTTCCATAATTTGGCTATTGTAGATAATACTGCTATAAACACTGGGGTGCCTGTATCCCTTCAAATCAGTATTTTCGTATCCTTTGAGTAAATCCCTGACAGTACAGTTGCTGGATCATAGAGTATTTCTATTTTTAACTTTTTGAGGAACCTCTATACTATCAAAAATGAATTTTCTTAGTTTATGTTTTAGTTTTAGTTTTTTTCATCTACAGGTCCTGTCTTTTAAATAGACATCATATTCTATTATCAAGCATTTTTGAAATAGATATCTAGTCTTTTTCATGGAGATGCCTAGCTGTTAGGGCTGAGAAGTCAAAATGCTCTTGGAACCAGCATAACAACAAGCATGGTCAACATCAGCGGTGACACTGTGTGCTGAGAACTCCACAGTTAGAGCAGAGCAAGGAGCAGGAAGTGAGGCAATGTGAGTGCTCCGCTGTGAATTCATGGCCACACCTCAATTTATTTCTGGTAAGTGAATGTGACAACTATTCACATACATTACTATCTTTATACTATCCAGGATATGCCAAATAAAGTAACAAGTCCAAAGGTGGTCTGTTTTAGAAAATTAATTAGAAGAGAGGGTAAAATCCAGTTTGCTTATGCATAAAATATAAACTTGGAGGCTCTTCTGAGACTTGGTATAATTTAGGACGAAACAAGCTAGTGTTTGGGATATTTTGATCAGTTGACTTGCTCTAACCACTTTTGTAATGAGTACTCCTCAGCACAGTGCAGCAGTGAAGTGTGTGTCTTCCTTGTAACCAGGTAAAAAAGTATACTTTTGGAGTAGTTTTCATGGTGAAGCAGATGGATCTATACTGACCCACTGACACTTGTTTGCCCATGAGGCTTCACGGATAAAGGTATATAAAAGGATCATTGGCTGACATTAGATGTGGCTAAAGAAAAGTGTTAAGTTACTTGGCACACATGGAGATGGTGGCTGAGCTATCACCATGTCTTAATTGCTAGGAACATCAAAGAGACCCCTAATCTACCCAAGGTCTTTCCTGGTTGAAGTTCTGGTCTGAAAAATCTCTCTCTCCCGACCTCACTGACTTGTTGGGAGACCATTCTACCCCAGTGCCATTTCAATCTTATTTCTTAGAGAAGAGTATCCTTGCGGGGGGTGTGGTGGGGGTGGGGTGGGGGTGTTACAGGTTTCCCTCGGTATCTGCAAGTAGAGCATTCTTACGAAAATGTCTGTAAGTGGAAATGGTGTAAAGTGAAGAAGCAATTATTAATTTACATGGAGAAATTTTTAAGCATTCCCAACCCCCTCCCCCCAAAATAACCTTTCTTAGGCTTCTCTCATACCTTAGGATATAATCGTGCTAATGGATGCACAAGATCAGTGGAGGTAAAGGCCCGATGCTCCCAGGATACAGTTCAAAGCTGCAGTGGCTTGATGCTGGGGCGCTGAGTGTGGTCCCGGGTAGGAGCTTGCCAGGACCCCTCTGGCTGCTCAGGGTGCGCGCGGCCTCTACAACAGCTCGCTGCCACGTAGACACCCAACACTAGTTTCCCAAAGCGGGGGGTACTTGTGTAACTCATTTTTCTTTACTCTTCATCAAATTCCACCAATCAAAACCAGGAATGAGCAGTGAACGGTCATGTCGTTGCTTAATTCTATTAGAAATATCCTGAAAACCTCCCTGGACGTCCCTAGGTAGTCTTTTGCACACTCGAGAGCATAGCAGGACCTATTTAATACGGTTTTGCACTTATCTCCAGAAGGTGATCTTTGCTAATCTGGCTTTCAAGTTGGAAAGAAAGAAGAAGAGTTGATTCCTTGTGGACTTTGCTCCAAACTTTAACCCTCAGGCAATTAAAGCCTCTTTATCCAAAGTGAGTCTCCAGTTAATCAGGCCCTTTCTGTAACCACTCCGAAACACACTTTCAAAACAAAAGTTAGAAAGCTGTATGATCCATTCTCAAGAAAGATCTGTTTCTGTTAAGAACCCGCCCTGACCTTTTTGTTGAAGAAGAACAAAATAATGTAGTAACAAAAACACAAGTCGCTGCCAGAGGAAGAGAAAAAAAAAGTTCCTGTAAGGGACTGAAACAATAAATCTCCTCTCTGCTGAACTCCCAAAGGGAGTGTGTGTATTTCCTCCCGTTCTTTATCAGAGCCCCCGAAATCAGTGGGAATGGGCAGTGACTGCTCACATTCAGCACACCTTTTCCATTTGCTAATAAGGCCCTGCCAGGCTGGGAGGGAGTTATCTCTGCGGGACTCTGGAGAGAAGCACCACTGAGACGGTCCACGAGCACCATGGAACTCCTTCAAGTGACCATCCTTTGTCTTCTTCTGTCCAGTCTTTGTAGCAGTGAAAACAGCACAGGTACCATTTTCTCTTATTCTTCTGATGGTGTGGATCCGAAATCATTGGGGGGGGGGGGACTGTTAGCCTCAGTTTACCTTCAGGGACCTTTCCGCGAAACTTGTATACAGCAATTCATTTGCGGAGTCGAGTGTGTGGGTGTTGGCAGGGAGTCCGTGGGGAAGGCTCCATGGAGAAGATGTTTGTTGTTTTCACTGAAAGGAAATGTTTGCTGGTGCAGTGGCCTTGCGGTGTATTTGATGGCACCATAAAAGTACTGAGAATACGCGATAGCACTTTGGGAGAATAAAAATCTGGGGATAAAATGCTGGTTACAAATGTACTCTTTCTCAAAAATGTGCTCCTCTCAGGCGTTAAGTCTAGAAATAACAAGATTGTCCAGGATGGGTGAAAGGCTGTAATCAGAAATACTGCATTGCAGATGCTGGCCTATTTTTGTCCCAAATATCTTTTGGCTCTGATAAATTGAGAGGCTGGATCAAGCTGCCTGGGGAAGCGAATATTAATATCTCAAGGGGGCAGGGTGGGTAAAGAGGAGAGTCATTTGATTAAAGTTAATAACATTTGTACTGGAAATAAGCACAGATCTACACACATACACACATTTTGCACAACATTTCAGAAATTTATGGACATAAGAATCCTACCCACTGATTGCAATTTCAGAAACTCGGATAAGGGCTGTATATGAATCACTATGAGCCCTGACTATATTAATGACCAGTTGCAAGAAATTATTACATATGACTGTGTTAGCCCTTTCTGAGGGATTCCCTGTAAGCAGTTACATTTAATGAATATTTATTAGGACCCTACTATGTACTCATCGGTGCAAGGAATACATAAATGACTAAGACATTGTCCTTACCAACAGTGGTCAATGTACTGTTGGGAAAAACAAATACGTAATTCTAATACAAGACAGATTTAATAAGTGTGAAAACCAAAGTACAAACTATCATAAAAGAACACAGTTGGGAAATACTGATTCTGAGGAGCCCTGGAAAACAATCAGTCCTAATTTTATTTTGCATGTGCTTTTTTCAAAAGTTTGCTGCCTATAAAAATTCTAATTTAGAATAATAGTGTAGGAAAAATTATGCACACTCCTTCAATGATATTTACCTTTAATTTCCCAATATACATATATAAATTTAGGAAAAATTCCCAGACACTCCAAAATCACATATGATTGCTTATCATGCATCTTGGCATTTCCAGAGTTAAGTTGCAGCAGGTATCAAGGCCAGAAAATCTAACTTAGAAGAGTTACCTGGCATCTGATTTTTTAAAATAAAGAGTAGTTATGAAGGGTCCCAGAAATCAGTGCATAAGCTTATAAGTAACTCTTCAGTATGCATGGGAAATCCCGATGCCATGAAGAACACTGTTCACAAACAGGTGCCCAGTCAATATAAAATTGAAAGTCTGGGTTAGGCTGCTCACCACTCCAAGTCTGTAAGCACCACCGAGTACATTATTTTCCTGGCATTGTTAAACTCTGAATGGATTATGTGTCTTTCTGAAAGCAAAATGGAATAGGATCAATAGAATCAGCTTGCAAAACCTAGCCATAAGGAAGACGGAAAGTGGAGGACAACCCAGAGATGACCTGGCAGGCTTTTCTATTATGATCATTTTGGGAAGATACCAACTTCTTTTACCTAACCAGAAATGAGCCCAGCCCATTAATGGTGTCTTCTTTCTAATGAACTATTAACCCAAGTAGGATAATTTCTCTTTTGAGCAGAGATAATAATTACATAATGACTATCTCCTTCAACCTCTGCCAACAACCCTATTTGTTAACTTAAGGAAAGTGTCTGCAAAAACTACTCCATTTGCCTTGGAGAAGGAAGCTCTAGCTCAAGAGCATGAACTGACCATCTGAGTGGTGCCTAGAAGGAACTGGAAGAGATTGTCCATCCAGGTGTATGATTTTGTTGCACCTGGTTCTGCCTGTTTTATGCTTCCCTTCCCAGATAGGGCACAGGAAATGAAGCATTTCCTAAGCTGATTTATGAAGTTCTTTCCTTAATCCCCTGTACCGGAAACACATTGATTTCAAAGCTTTGTACGTTCCCCAAACTTAGAATGCTTACCATATTTCATCAGCAGAGTTGATTATTAGGGATGAGGAGGGAGGCATTTCATCGGCCTTAAATTCACAAGTTGTCAAGAAGATCCATGCTTCTTTGCATAGTAATTTATTCCTAAATAATGATCCTTTAGAGAAATTGACTACTTTTCTTTCTCCTTCTGGCATTTTTGTCAGTCTCAGATTTAAATACATACAATGTAGCCTTTTGTGCTCCTTGTGAAAATCAAGTGAATCTTTCTACACAGCAGCGAGTGACTTTCTATTACTTGGTTGGTGGTATAATATTTTACCATTTCCAATTTGCAAAGCTGTTCTGTTGAAATACGTAGGGAAGATGCCTGAAAAAGAACTGTCATTCTTTCCCAAGGTTTTTTAAATTGTATTTAAAACTGAACAGCCCCCTCCTGTGGCTTTTAAACCCCTTTTGGCTTTTAAGCCTAGATGGATGAGCCTTTGACTGTCAGAACCAAGAGAAGTTAAATGAAAAGGATTCTAAGAGAAAGGAGGCCCAGGAAACAATGTACTCTCCCAGCGCCATTTGCTTTTTGAACTTGATGTTAATTTAGGAAAGATTAAAATGTGTTAGGCATTTGCGAACAGGAAAAAACATCAATTTCATTGGTATCTGAAGAATCATTGCTTGGAGAAATTCATTTGTTAGTGATTGAACATTCAGTTTCATGGGAAAAAAAATGGATCAGACTGTAAGACAGACATTATGCTAAATGCTATAGATTTACAGAGATCAGTAAGACTCAGCCATGGCCCTTGAAATGGGAGAGAAAAGAGGAGTTAAGTAATTTTGATTGTATTGTAGGTCTTAAGTGGTAAATAAAGAATGGTCCGGAGCTTAGTTTTGGCTGTGGGGCATCAGTAAAGAATTCATATAAAAGTGGAAATTATGATAAACTTTGAAATTTGAAAAACAGGAGGTTTCAGATCAATGGAGTTTCTTGCATAGGAACATGAAAACATCAGAATATTCTAGTGTACACATGTAAGGAGGTCACAGATTAGACATAGGTAAGTTTTGGAAAATAAGGTTGGAAACAGAGCCTCAAGATATATATTGACTACCAGGATGAGGGATACTGACTAGTTAATAGTCAATAGTTAAAATTGAATAGTTGATTAGTTTAGAGCCTCTAAATGTGTTTGAGTGTGGGAATTATGATTGGGGCTATAAATTGGGAAGATTAATCTGTCAGCAGGAAATAAATTAGCCTATTGTAGTCAGGAGAGACACAAGATAAAGAAAATAGTGCAAGTGCTATTGCAAGTCTGAAAGTCTATCAATAAAATAAAAAGAAGGATCTGGGGAAGTGCTTAAAGGAAGTAGAGAGTTGGTGATTTGCCATATTCTTGACTGGCAATGAGGGAGAACGTGACTGTGATATACAAAGGATTATCTGAATACTAGGAGTAGGGAAATGGTTTGGGAACTGAGGGAGAGAAATATAGGTGGAGACCATTTAAGGAGGAAATGATGTATTTGACTTTGGACATGGTGACATTGAAATCCTGATAAGATATTTAAATAGAGATGTTCAGGGTAAATTAAAATCCACGGGTAGTTGGAATGCCCCTGCAGCTGGATGAGGAGGTGAGTGTTCTTTACTCTTGAATCCCAGGAGTTCTTAGTCCTGCTTATTGTAGAATTAATAACATAGAAAAACAATTTATTTCTTACCTAGATGCTCATATTTCTAACTCTCTTGTGGCACTTGTTTTTTTTTTTTTTTAATTCTATCATAATTATTTGTAGGCATATCTTGTTTCCTCTACCAGACTATAAACACCTTGAAAGTGGGGGCCGTATATATTACCATATGTAGTTTGTTTGTCCAGTAACAGTTCTTTTTTTTTTAAGATTTTATTTATATTATTTATTTGGCAGAGAGAGAGAGCACAAGCAGGGGGAGTGGCAGGCAGAGAGAGAAGCAGGCTCCCCACTGAGCAAGGAGCCCCATGGGGGACTCGATCCCAGGACCCTGGGACCATGACCTGAGCCAAAGGCAGACGCTTAACCGACTGAGCCATCCAGGCGCCCCTGTCCAGTAACAGTCCTAAACTGTTATAGTAAGGACACATAGCTGAGTGAACACTTTAAGGAATGATACAATTGCCTTCATTTTTTTCATTTTTAATTTCTTACAATGACAATCACTTACCAGTTTACTGCCTTGTCCTTGTGAAAAGATTGCGGACACGTATGGCTCATAGCATAGAACATGGATACGAGTGGATTACTTTGATTCCTGGCTATGAAAATGGGCACAAAATATAAGGAAAGGGGCTTCTTATCAAAGGTAAGCCAATTCCCAAAGTCTAGCCAGGAGAGAAGGTGATAGGGATAGATGGACAATCTAGTACCAGGTGACAGTAATTAACAACAAATCTGGAGAAGTAAACTACTCTGACTATAATCCTTGGGAGGAAGAATATCTAAAAAGAACTGGCTCTACCTTTCCTTTTGGGGTATAAAATACTTTATGTAATATCTTCTTACAGTTAGAAATATTCAAGGAGAAACCTTATTCTCAACCAACTTCTTAAAAATACAAAACGGCTTTTTTAAAAAAGAAAGTTCACAAAAAGGGAAGTTTAAGAAAGTTAAATAAATACCACACATCATTAATTCATGTGTTATTTTTGATCGCATGTGAGTTGCTCTAGAGCAGATCATTTTACTTATTCTGTTTAGCTTCATCACTATCAGAAATTCTTACCTAAGAGCGCCTGGGTGGCTCAGTTGGTTAAGCGACTGCCTTCGGCTCAGGTCATGATCCTGGAGTCCCAGGATCGAGTCCCGCATCGGGCTCCCTGCTCGGCAGGGAGTCTGCTTCTCCCTCTGACCCTCCTCCCTCTCATGCTCTCTGTCTCTCATTCTCTCTCTCACAAATAAATAAAATCTTAAAAAAAAAAAAATTTAGAGAGCTTTTATTTTACTGGATCATCGCCTGTCCTTTCCTTTTCATTGATGAAGGTACATTTCAAGCTTCAGGTAAATATTTTAACTTGTGAATAATTATCTAATTCAAGTAACTTCTATGCGGTTTTTTTTAGTCATCACTTTCCAACTTCCTCTTCATCTTTGAGAACAATTTGAGATGCACATTTCTAAACCCTGAATGTCAAAGCAGGAATGTACTCTAAGGGACATTCAATTCCTGTTAGTAAGGGCCTCCTTTCCTGTTGCTGAATTCCTGTGGGTCATTATAGCTCTATCAAGCTAGGATAATGCCGGTTGGGTGTTAAAAGAAGCTCTTTCAGTTAGCAAAGAAGATCCTTTTTGTACTGTTCAGACACCACATCAGCATCGACGTGAAAAAAACAGTGATATCAATTACAGTTACATCTAGAAAGGCCACTCTATGGTTCCCAAATTTGGGACAACCGTAAGAAAAATCTTTTTTAAAAAAAGAAAAGAAAAGAAAAATTGTTTTCTAAATGTAAATAGAAGCGTTGTGTCTTGTAGAAATATCAGCAGAGATCATCATAACTCGTCTCTAAATAGTACAAGTATTAGACACCTGCTGTGTCTTTCCCTATACCCTCTCTGGCTGTGTTTACTCTGGCCATTGCGATGGCAACCTGCTATGCACTCGTGTAGCCTGACAGCACCTCGCCTTGAGTGAATATAGATCTTTTGCTTTCCTGTCTGCTGTGATTCTGATACCAAGTCATGTGTCACCTGCAGAACCCCAGCTGGCAGAGTTGTATGTCTGAGCTGGAAGAGCAGGGGCAGTAGCCCTCTCTGAGACCACTCTTGTCGAAAGGGGGGATGGAGCCAGTGGATGAGTGCTTCCCTCCTCTGTTCCTGCTCCGTTTCACCGCTGTAGTCCTCTATGCCTTTCCCAGACTTCACACTCCTTCACAAACTGTCTGCACACCAGCCTGTGTCTCAGGCTCTGCTTTCTGGGGAAATCCGGGATTTATTATTTTTCTTGATGGGAACTTTTTGGTTTGAATAATAGTGTATATCAAGATTGTGGTATATATAGATTGCTACCATTTCTCTGATACTCCAGTTATTATTTACTCCCCAATATTATTATTAATTATTATTATTATTCACTCCCTTTCTTCCTCTTCATTTAAAAAACAAACAAATGAGAAGTTTTATCAATCTTTTGTTGAATACGTTCAACAATATTCTAAGCAGGCCCTGTTCTAAGGCAATCATTTGCCTATTTGTATAGAGTCAGTAATGAATTATGTTGTGTGGTTAGTAGCCAAAAATGTTGAAGCCATTGATTTTATTCTCGGTGTGTTGCTTATCTGAAATGTGAACTGCTTTTACATCTGTCTGTTCAGTCACGCTCTGGCTTGAACCCAAAGTAGTTGTGTCAGAACACAGAGTCAGTTGCATTGGGTCCAAGTTAACCCAGGTGAGTGTCATCACAACGTCTCCTGGCATCTACCATTCATTTTGCCTGGCCCTTTACACGGATTCCTTCCATCACAACATTTAAGGCTGACTTTATGATTCCCATTTTAATGGTTAGGAAACGAGGCCATAAAATTATACTAGAGTGATGTGGCTTAAAATCAAACCAGAGGATGTTGTCCTTCAAAATCTTCCTTATAGCTTGCTGCCTTCCAGCGTGGTGAAATTGTAGCAAGTTGAGTTTTTCGAATAGAAGAGAGGAAGGATAGGGACTTGTCACTCGAGTAATTCAGAAGCCACTGCTGTCTCTCCTAACATCTTCCACACCTTTAAACCACAAACTAGGTGCCACAAATGAGTTTCTGCTTAGTGATAATGCTCCTCTTCATACGCTTGATTCAGTTAATTAGTAGAGGTTGCATTGGAAGGAGTTGTAGGTATTTGCCTACCAAACCCTTGTTAAGTTAGTTGAAAAAAAAAAATGGGGGCGCTTGGGTGGCTCAGATGGTTCAGCGTCTGCCTTCGGCTCAGGTCATGATCCCAGGGTCCTGGGATGGAGTCCCGCATTGGGCTCCTGGCTCAGCGGGGAGCCTGCTTCTCCCTCTCCCTCTGCCTCTCTCCCTGCTCATGCTCTCTCTCTCTCTCTATCTCTGTGTCTCAAATGAATAAATAAAATCTTAAAAAAAAATGTACTTGGCTGTAATATAAATGTGAGTGCAGCTAATATGGGACTTGGAGGAGAAGAAAAGAAGCAGAGGAAATAACTATTAGTGAATTAATCACTTAGTGTCACATTTATAATTCTTTTGGAGCCAGAATGTCTGGGTTCAAATTCCAGCTCTGCCACTTACTGTCTTTGTGAACTTGGGCAAGTTACTTCACCTTCAGCTTTCTCAGCTGTAAAATAGGGTGAGTGCAGGGCCTACCTCGTAGGAGTGTTAGGGAGATCATGTGAAGAGAGGTACACAAAGCACCCAACATAGTGTTGTGCATGTGACAACTTCTTAAGGTTTGCTGAGTTTGGGAACTCAGAGTTCTATAGTTTATTATATCCCATTCCTTAGATAAACTGCCTTATTTCCAAATTGATTCTAATGCAAAATCAGCAAATATTTAAATAATTATAATGTTAATTCTCACAGAGTGAAAAACCAACACATGAAAATTTTTCACGGAAGAATCGGTATGAGATACTAGAAAGATGATTGCCAAGTTATTTTTTTTTTAAGGTTTTATTTATGTATCTGAGAGAGAGAATGGGAGACAGAGAGCATGAGAGGGGGAGGTTCAGAGGGAGAAGCAGACTCCCCACTGAGCAGGGAGCCCGATGTGGGACTTGATCCCGGGACTCCAGAATCATTACCTGAGCCGAAGGCAGTTGCTTAACCAACTGAGCCACTCAGGTGCCCTGCCAAGTTATATTTTTAATCACAATATATACAGGCACCATTTGATATATGCAGACTGTATTCTCTAAAGTGTCTCAGATTTGTAGGTTATTTAACTCACTAATCACTGAAATTCATAAATAAAATTATGTTTGTTTTTAATGAGGATTCTAACTTTGTAGAGAATTGAGAATTGTCAACATCCTCACATGTTATTACCTGTCTTCAAACACCGCTTGATCTGAGAGGTGGAATACATTAGTGGAAGGAACCTTGACTTTAATTGAGAACCAAGTTTGGGTCTAACTTCTTAGTATGCTGAAATTGACCAAGATATTAAATACTTCTTAGCCTCCTTTTCTTTCTCTAAATATGAGAAAAATGATATTTGTTGACACAGTATTAGAGTTACATGAAAATCAGAAAACCTATTTTAAAGTGCTCTGTAAGCCATAAATTACTATTTAAATATTAGTTATTAATAGGCAAGCTAATATTTAACTCACAGAATCAAGGGATAAGTAGGAAGGCATTTCATAAATTTGAGAATTTTTCCTCATTGGCTGGGTCTGCATCTGCTGTTCTACCCTTGCTCTTTTGGCTATAATACCTTTATATGTTTTTCTATGGCTGCTACACATTCAAGGAGCTACACATATTTTTCTTTTCTTTTCTTATCTTGTTGAAATAATGCTTGAGTTATTAAAAATCCACACACATAAAATACAGAAAACCATTTGTATCACACATTGAGCTTATTTTTAACTGAAATGGGAAAAGAAATTTTTTTTGTGGTATGAATTGTGAAATCGTCCTCCTAGGGCATTCGGCAAGTGTGAGGACATAAATGCTGAGCTCTTAGATACTGTCCCTGGGGCACAGAGGCCACTCCTGCACTTGCCAGCTCTTGGCCATTGTGACTACTCCTCTCTCCTACAATGAGACATCCCTCAACTATCTCTCCCTGCAAATCCGTTTTAAAAAACGAGACCTGCCATTTTAAATGCACAGAATTAACTAATTAAAGATTTATTAATAGTAATTGCATTTTGGGGATTAAGATGATGAAATTATGTGAATCCATAAGCTTCTTTTATTTTTCTTTTCTTCTTTCTTTTCCCGACAGCCTCATTTGTTGAGTACAAGTTTTATATTAATTGAAGTTTACAACTCTATAAATTTGCCAAGTAGAAGAAAGAAAAATGACAATGCTACCAACCATTTAAAAACCTGTTATTAGAGTCCATTTACAACCTAACTGAATGTACATCTGTTGGGAACAAAGACAATGTCCAGTTGATCTCTTTTTTTCCCCAGGACCTATCTTCGGACACGTAGATGATGCTTACTAACAAACTCTTGCTTTAATTTGGAGAACTGTATGTATTTCTTCAAAAGTCAGCAGAGTTGAAAATGTACAAGACATTCCTGGATTTGTTTTCAGTAACTTGAGGACCATATTTATTTTTATCCTGGGCCTGTATAGTGGAGAAGTTGTGAGGGTCATTTTGGGCTACTCTCTCAGTTGGCTGAACTAATTTGCTTTGCTTTATGAAATTGACCTTATTGTTATATAAATAGCAGAAAATGCCCACATTTGGTTTATATTGACTCTTCAAATCACATAGGAATGGTGTGACTATCAGAATGCAGGTATTGAGTCATTCCTGTTTCTTGCTCACGAGAAAAACAATGGTATCCTGTAATTCTATGTATCATTCATTGAGTAATTCTGAAACACTTAGATCACACTATTCCTCATCCCTACCAAATGCAAAGTTATGAAAATGCAGTTGTAAAGATGCATTGATTATAGGTTTTACCGCTCTAACTCTGAGGTCTTCATTCACTTCATTCACTATGTTGAGTAATTAACTTTATTCTAATCCTGTCCCGAAGCAAAGGCATTAGATAATTCAGTTATTTCCAGGTTTTAAAATTTTCATTGATCAGTAAATAATCAAATGCCCTTTGGACAGTTGACAGAGAATTAACAGGCTTTTACTTTGCCAAATAAAGACACAAAACACCTACAATGTATACACCATTTACCTGTGTATTACATAAAGTCTACTTTAGCTATATGCATATATTTGGCAGTTTAACAACTTTTTTTTTCACTGAGCTCTGACTAATGTCATAAGCCAGCCCTGTGCACTGGTGGAGTGTACTGTTGGCTAAGCCAAGAGCCCTTGGTCTTAGGAACCAGGGACCACAAGCCCTTGGTCTTAGTTACCTGGGGCCACAAGCTTGCTTAAAACAT